GCTCTCGGCTCCCCGCTCTCCGCGTTGGCTTCCCGCAGAGGTGAACGACGCCGGGCCACCTGCGTGTTCCGTGTGCTGCGTGAGCAGCGGCCGTGGAGCTGCCCGTGGAAGACGCTGGAAACCGCCGGCCTCCTTCCGCAGGGGCTTAAGGGAGCAGAGGAGGCTCCTTGTTGGCACAGGTCTCCAGCGGGCGGTTTTGTCCCTCCGACGCTGCAGGCCTATGGCAGCACCGAAAAATGAAAGGGAAATGGCATTTTGTTCTATAAGGGCGAGACGCATGTCAAGTTTATCTGGAGGAAAAGGAAATTAGGCCTTTAAAAATTGTGTAATAGCAGGCCCTCTGTGAATGCATTTAATTGCACGTATTAGTAGTATTTCATAACACTGACCTTAAATTGCAGCTTTTTTAGCACAAAAGTTAAATTGCTAATTGAAAAAGTAGATTAATTGCTGTACTGCTGAAAAATGAAACTTCCTTGATGCCTTCCAGAAGCCATTTTGGATTAGAAATTGGCCAGAGTCCTGAACTGAAACTCAAGGTCTCCATGTTTCCTTGATTTTTTTTCATTGAAATTACATCACAGCATAAATAAAGCATGGGCTCCAATCCAGAACCCACTGGGATCAATAAAAACTTCTCGTAGTCCCTTGCATCTGGGTGGTTTTATACATAAATAATTTATAAAAGCATCTGCTTTGTTCTTCTATTTATGGAATAAGTAAAACATACTATTCATTTTTATCCTACAGGTGAGGAAAGCTTAGTTCTTCTAGATGGAAGACATGAATTTCCGTTCAGCTTTCAACTCCCTCAAGAGTAAGTTAAATAATTCAAGCTGAAGGGATTGTGCCGGACGCTGCTTGTTGTGGAACATTAACTTAATGTAATTTGATTTGTGCTTTTTTTAATATCAAACTGATAGGTCGGCTTTGTAAGTTTGTCTTAATCAACCACCACATAAGACACGCCTTGTTTTCTTCAGTTTCCCCAAAGCCATAAAAGTACGAGCTGTAAATTGGTAAACATTTATGTACACGGGAAGCGTTTGTGTTTGGAACTGAATTTAAACTTACGGTGATGCTTTTGTGACCGCTTGTTTCAGACCTCTGGTGACCTCTTTCACGGGGAAGTATGGCAGTATTCAGTACTATGTGAAAGCGGTTCTGGAGAGACCTGCAGCACCCGATCAAAGTGTACAGACAGAGCTTCAGGTCATTAGCCATATCGACATCAGCTCACCAGCTTTATTGGTAAGAGGGTCTTCCGCTCCTCCTCCCCCCTTTAAAGACAGCTGCAAAAAAATCATTTCCAAGAAGCATTCACATCCAGCCATAACCATTTCCATGTTATTCTGAAGTGTCATTTTCTGACTTCTGAAAGCATATAAGCTCCCTAAGCTTTTCTCTATAAATAGATGATCTTAGGTTGTGTGAATAGCAAGCAGAGTGGCTTTTTTTAATACCATTGATTACATCCCTGCTGGCAGAGATGCTCTTGCCAAAAAGTTATGCAGGCTTCAGATGCATAAACAAGGCTTAATAATAATAATGCACAAGCATAAAGTCGTTACTCTTACCAGAGCAACTACATTCACAGGGCTGCAGTGTCCTAAACCCTACAATAATAGTAGGTTGAGGAACAGTAATTACAGAAGAGTATTAATCATGCCCAGCCTGTCATTTATGCTCTGGCCATTATGTTACGTATCCTTCCATTTTGCATGTCGTTTTCTAACATTAAGTGCATGCATGCAGCTGCTTCAGAGATCTTTTCAGTTATTTCCTTATGACAGATTTGGCCACATTAAAGCATTGAGTTTCTAATAATCACTAGAAATACTGTAGAGTAATAAGAAAGATCAGGCATTAAGTAATGAGAAAATAGGCAAGATGGAAGTTAATGAGCTGGATTCTTTTATCTCAACGCATATTATGAAAATAATATAAAATTATACCTTGCACTTTCATGATAGCAACTAGATCTAAATGGTTATTCATTTAAATATGAATGAGTAATTTCTATTTTATTTAAAAAGCTAGGATAATTTTAACATTTCGTCATGATGTGAACGTGGCTAAGAGATGTTTTGAGCAGGGCTTTTTTCCTCTTTACACGCTTACATTTAATCTTTCTAGAGAGAACTTACACAAGTATTTGGTGAAATCTGTGAGCAGAATACAGTCTTTATATTCAGCAGTGTATGTTAGGAGTGTGAAGACAGCCTATCCAGGTACTGCAAGGGCAGGCTAGACTATAGGTTATTGCACAGGAGAGGCTGTGGGGCACGTAAAGTAGGCAGTGCCTGCCTTCATGGATTCCAAGGCTACCACCAAAAAAGGCGCAAAACATGAATTTCAGACTTGAGAATTATATTGAGAATCCTGGCTTGGACCCTTGGCATGTGTACTTGTGTGTTGTAAGTTTATTCTAATGAAAATTTTATAGACAGTGTAAATGTTACCTAATGTGACAGCCCTCCGTGAGTAATTAAGATGGTTTTTGTCATGAGCCTAAATTTTTGGGGGGTTGTGTGGCTTGCAGGTTATGAAGGTGCATCACCTTAGCCCAGTGTGTATACATTTATCCTTTCTTCTCAAAGATACAAAGGTAAAACCAGTTTACCTGCTTCACTCTTAGTTGCTTGCAGATGAAATTAATTCTGCATTCTTCTGCACTGAGGAACGTGGGCACAAATACTGCAGTACTCCGTTAGACCTTTAAAAAGTCACACTTAGAAAATTTGCTAAATCAATCTTTTTGACGAGAGGTTGCATTCAGATGCACATGGGTGTCTCTGTTACATAGCTGATAGGGCCTAAATGCAGACTAGGATTTTAAAAGAGCCCTCTGGTTCAGGTAGAGAAACCTCAGTTCCGTTTTACGTGGTGGCAAAACTCCGGTTGCATGGAGTACAGTGATTCAAATCAAGTGGATTTTAGGGCTCGATTGCGATGACTGATGTGCATAACATTAAACTGCAAGTGACTGATAGCCTTATGCCATAAAAAGGACAAATACTCTCTATTTTATAGACACCTGTTCTAAGAAGTCAAGAGAAGATGGTTGGCTGTTGGTTTTTCACCTCTGGGCCAGTGTCTCTCAGTGCCAAAATTGAGAGGAAGGGATACTGTAATGGTAAGACTAGTTATCTTCACAATGTGAATAATAAACATCTAATAGGGGTATTTTTAATCTCTCTGAAGCCAACACTGTACAGTCGAAAGACTAGTTTCCTTTAGCAGGTCGTAAATTCAGATCTATGTGAACCTGCTTTAATAAAAATCATCTTGCTTTTGCCCTCACTGGCCCTTGGGAGTATAAATTGAGAGAAACTCCCGTTAGTAATCTTACAGAAAAGCCGTGGACATTTGAGTGTAAAGAACAACAAAATGCTTTTATTTGGGTTTAAATACTTAATTGGGGATGTAATCAGGTTTTTATATCCTGTTTGCGTAGGCTTACACTTCTGTAAGAGTGAGCTTTAGCAGCTTCTCTGTCATCTTGATAACATTGAGGAAATAAAACATTCTGAAATTCAGTTAGGACTATAAAAGGACGATGGGCGCATAATTTGCGAATAAAGCTTTTATGGCTTGTTCATATTGTGCTTAATGTTTCAGAATGCATCATTGTTGATACATGTAAAATGTAGTAGGTGGCTGTAATTCTGCCTGGATACCACTTTGGAAAAAAAAAAATGAAACCAACAACAAAAACCTAGCTTGAGGAAATTAAAAAGTATTGTTCTCCTAACGTGGCAGATGATGTACGTGCTGCATAACATGCTTTGATACTCCCAGAGGAAAGCTGGTAAATACAAATTGTCCATTGAACTTTTTCTGTCTTTAAGGGGAAGCCATACCAATCTATGCAGAAATTGAGAACTGCTCTTCTCGTTTGATTGTTCCAAAAGCTGCCATTTTCCAAACACAAACTTACCTGGCCAGTGGGAAGACAAAAACTTTCCGACAGATGGTTGCCAATGTCCGAGGAAACCATATTGCCTCTGGGAGTACAGATACCTGGAATGGGAAAACTCTGAAAATCCCACCTGTATCCCCCTCTATACTTGACTGCTGTATTATTAGGGTAGAATATTCATTAGCTGTAAGTATGGATTTTTATTACAAATGTACATACTCTTGAATACTACAGTGACTTGGGAACAGAAGAATTTTCTCTACTAAGCAGCTATTAGATTTTGAATTTGGAACAACAATATATATAGATAAATATCATATACCTTACAGATGAGAGACTGAAGATCATGAAGAGATTCTGAAATGGAAAGATAGGAATAATGGGGAAAATGGAATAATGTTTCTGAGGAAGAAGCAGCTCAGTTTTAGACCTGCAGAGGTTATTAGGGGAAAGTAGTTCAAGCTGAATGGATTCCTCTAGTGATTCTTTTCAGAACTGGGAAGATAGGACTGAAAGTCAAGTGCATACTTATTTTTGTCAACCTGCTTTGTATTTTTTTAATGTCATCTAGAGACAAGGCACAGAAAGAAGGCAGTTTTTGCAAAATAAGGAAAGCTGCCAGAATATTGGCTAAACATAGCTGGGATGAGAAAACTCCTAATTTTTAAACAACCTGCAGTATAGGGAGTAGGGTAGCTTTGGGGAGCAGCAATTCAATGGGGTCTCATGATGTTTTTTTTTCTTTTATTTGGGGGTTGTCACATAGGTGTATATCCATATTCCTGGTGCTAAGAAATTGATGATTGAAATGCCTCTGGTGATTGGCACTATTCCATGTATTGGATTTTCAAGCAGAAACTCCAGCATTACCAGCCAGTTTAGTATGGATATGAGTTGGCTGGCCTTGACCATGCCAGAACACCCTGAAGGTAATACATATTGAACTCTTTATAACACAGCACAGTACTGTCTAGGACAGAAGGACAGCAGTGCCAGTTTGAGGGCACTACTAGGGATGTAGGCCGTTAGAGCATGACTCATCAGAAGTGAGGCACGTACATTAAGTCAAGATCCAAAAGGGTTGGTGAGGATTCCCTAACTCCAGCCTTTTTTAAGTCTGTCTTTACCCCATCTGACTACTTTCAGCTGAATTGTGAAATAACTAACTTCTGATAGCGGGAAGTCTACTTTGGAGGTAGACACCTTAAAGTTAATCATTACTGAATATATTTTGATACAACACAGGTTTGTTGCTGGAATAGCCCTAAACGCACCTGCAGTGTTCCTACTGAATCACCTAAGCTCCTCAAAAACATAACTAGTTCAGTAAAGTGCACTTCATACAATCTGACCATAGTACAATGCTTCATAAATACAGTCTTCATGGTCTTGGATACTGTAATACGTATGTTGTCTTGCTGCGAGTGAACAGTTTGAAAGTTGACAGTAGCATCTCTTGTGTTTCAGCACCACCAAATTACGCTGATGTAGTGTCTGAGGAAGAGTTCTCCAGACATGTTCCTGCTTATCCACCACCAATTGACTGTGAGGAACAACTGTGTTGTCCTGTCTTTGCTTACATACAAGAGTTCCGGTTTCAGCCTCCACCTCTTTATTCGGAGGTAAGCAAATAAACAGCAGATGGTGTTTTTGTTGTTGGATGGCAAAAAAAAAACCCCACATACAGAAATGCAAGAATTAGAAGCAGTAATTGTTGCCTTTCTTCTCTCTGTAGATCGATCCACATCCAACTGATGTAGAAGAAGTTCAGCCCGTTTCATTCACGCTCTGAAGAGGATTTGTAATGAGCATCATATTGTGATGAATGTCTTAATCTTTCTGCTGCTTAAGCTGATAGTGCAGCTAAAAAGGAAACAGTTTTCTTTTTCAAAACCTAAGTTTGTGTACAAGAAAGGCAAAGGAAAATGGAGAGGGAGGTATGAGCATGTTTGGTGATGGAAGAGAATCTGCTGGATTAGTCTGCACAGAGGATACTGTGGGAGCAGCTGTGCTTGGGATACTTGAGAAGTACCTGAAAATACTGAATGCTTTCTAAAAGTGGATATACTACACAAAGTACGAGGAGGAGATGTAAGGATCTTCTGAAGAGAAAAGAATTTATATTTTGTTTGGAACACTCTGGAAGAATTTACGTAATTATGTTGATGTTGAGAACTTCTGTAGTAGAACTTGCGTAGAACAGAATGTGGGGTAAGAAAACATTTCCAAAAGATTCCAGTGTTCAAGGGGCTTCAGTTTTGCACTGTCTGCATCCAAGAAAGGAACACTACTAAAATGTGGAGTGAAGTCTTCACTGTAGCTTAACTTTGTGTTTCATGAGAACCTGCCCTTCTAACAACTGCCAAGTGGTACTATTTCATCATTCATAATGATTCTAAAGACATCATGGATGACAAAATAGCTATTACGCAATATTATGAAGGCAACCATTTACTGAATGAAAGACACAAGTATGTAAAAGAAAATTGAACTTTGATAAGAGCTTATGCACTATGCTTTCTTTCAAGGGATTTCTTAAGGGAATTACTCTAGCCTCTTCTACTGTGAGTTCTTTTTCTGCATCTTAAGCCTATGGATAGCATGATAAGGGGAAGCATGGCAAGGGAGAATCCTTTTGCCAACAGCAGGTATACTTAGCAAAATGGACAATACTTATTTATTCAGAAGCCTTTATAAGCCTACCTCTGTTTTGGATATTTACTTACGGTCAGATCTGAGACCAAAAAAAAAAAAAGTCTTGTTAAAGCTCCAGTATACTTCAAGGTTCTAAAAGGGACCCTAAATGGTTTCTGTGCTAGTGAGTAAGATAAGAGGTGTAGGGAGAGGTGTAAATATACCCAGAATAGACATAGCTTATAACTGAAGTGAAAGCAGACATCAGAGGAACAAAATCCTCTAGTAATGGCACAAAGCTTTTCATTACTCCTGCATTTTTGTCTAGAGACCTATTGTCAGGGGCTGCACTGGCCATTTGCTATCCATACTGTTTTTTGTTCGTGTGTTTCCTTGTTTGTTTTTTGCTGTTTAATTTTGGTTTGGTGCAATATTTTAATGTTTTCTTCCTCAGGTCATTTAGAACAGTGAGAGTTTGTTGCTGCTAAAAGTGAAGGCACAGCAATTTACTTGGCCCTTCTGCTGCCTTCATTTAAAGTAGAATGTTTGCTTCCTGCCAAGCATCAATTGGAATAAGTAAGCCACCATCAGCGGATCACTTAAAGGAGCAGAAACACAGCATTCTCAATACGCATGTTTACAGTAGAGTCTTTAAACTACAGGGGACTTTGAACTACTAGAACTACTCCATATGTCTTACAGAAGGGTTTGGGGTTAAGACCCGGTGCTTCATGTGGGTAAAACAATGTACTTTCTGAGAACTACAAGAGTAGTAATTGAGTTTCCTTCATTTCATCCATAACTGCAGTTTAAACAAGTTTAAATGGTTTTTTATGAAATCTGTCTTCATTTAAGAAGCAGGGATTTTTCTACAGGCATACACGGATATATATTTTTAGTCTTCTTGTAGTATGACTTCCTTACATTGTCTAATTTCTTGCACTTCACCTCAAGTCACTTTTACATCAGTGTAAAAGACTGATTGAGATTCACGTTTCCAAACTGCAGTTACCTTTTTTTTTTTCATTTTCAACTTTAAGTATTGTTTTCTATAGCAAATGCAGCTTTAACCAAAATTTGAACGCATGTTGTAGAAAGGACATTCTAAAATTTAGTATTTATCTTCAGTCTCAAGATGTAGCTCTCATGCCTTTTTAAGTGGTGGCGAGCCCATACAATCAATGCAGGATTTTCATTCACATCACCTGGAAAGGGAACAGGCATATTTTTCCTTAAACAGATACCATTATAGTTACTTGAAAAGTAATGTGGCTGCGTATTAACTTGCATGTTAATAATTCAAAATATCAGCTTAAAGAACAGTAGGTTCTTTTTTGGACTGTAATACCCGACAGGTGATGTGTGTTAAGTGGTATAAACACGGTCAAGCAAACAAGAGCATGAAGGGTAAAGATGTGCTTTTTTTTTTTTTTTCTGAAATCTTTGAGTTGTTTTTTTTTTTATTATTATTATTTGCAGATAAACTGTGGCCTTAGATTGTTTGCTGCAAAAAAGACAACTAGAATGTGTTTCTTACGAAGCACATGGCCCTTCAAAAGAGGGGTGAAAACAAGATTAAGTTCTGCTCTCTGACACTTGGCTTAGTGCAGAAATTGATCCTTAAAATAATCACTGTTTGCACAATAATAAGTTCAATATGCAGGGGCTTTGTTTTGATAACTGTGAAACAGTTTAAAAGAGACAAAATAAAAAAAAAAAAACCAACATGCTGTTTAACATACAGGAACATGATTGTATTTTGTACTAATGAATGAGCCCCATGGGTTCTTTGTTAATAAAAGTGTCAAACCTTCCTCGTGCTGTTCATCTCTGCTTTGGTGTGTCTGAGGCAAATTGCTGCCCTGTCAAGCAATACCTGTATGCTGCCAGCTTTGAGCGCACACACATCTGCTCATTCTTTTCTGATGGGAGAACTTTGCCCTTGTCTGTCACCGCTTCAGTCCCCTGAACTATCCATAACCCAGAACTGGAAGAAATTTACCACAGGTGGCCTGCTCCCACCTGTAGTTACGAGGTGATACACACTGCTCCAGGGTGGGTGTCTTCTCCAGAGTGACTGAAGTGGCAGGATGTGTGTGCTCTAACGGGATTTCTCATCTGGTGTATTAATCTTACAGGATAGTTTATTGTGTTTCCTTTAGACAAGATTATCTTTACTGTGTATTTCATTGATCTGAATACACCAGAACAACCTTGTAACCCTAGTACAGCATGCCTAAAGCAGAGTACCTTCTGCCACGGGGAAACGGATCACAAACTGTCTACCAGATAGCTCAGCTAAACCGTAAATGAGAGGATGGACTCTCTGTTAGGGTCGTGCCTCCAAAAGATTTGTGGACCACCAAAAAGAGGTGGTTTTGTCTTCCTGTTCCCACTTGAAAGGGCAGACAGCAAACCTCCCCTTGGAAAACCCAGGTGAAGGTGCTGTTCGGGACCACATATTCAAGCTCTGGAGCTTGCGTAAGGGTCATGGCTCATGGAAAGGAAAACACAAAACCTCAAGTTCTAGTCGTAGATTTCTAAAAGGTCTCTTCCTAAACGATCCTGAAGTATCCCAGCTCACAGCAGCAATCCTACTTCATCCACGCTTAAGTTTTATTGGGGGCTGTGTCTGTTGGCAAACTAATTGTCTCTCAAAGTACATGCAGTGTTTGAACAGGTAGTAAGCGATGTGCTCTGCCCTCCAGAGACAGAGCAGGCACCGCAGGCTCGTGTTGCAGCTCTGATGCTTTCAATACAATTCACATACAGAGAAAGATCATTTAATCAGCTCCTGGGGCATGTTCCAAACTATCAAAATAGCACATTCCATTACTTCACCGCCCAATTCGAACAACAAAAGGGAACATCCAACTGATTCTGTACAATCTCTGCTATACATATCAGTAAAGAAGTGTTTGGAGAGCACAGTTTGCAAAGGTGATTTGAAGATAATTGCTCTACTACTCCCCCCCAAAAAAAAAAACAACAAAAAAAAACCCCACCCCACAGCAGAAATGCCTGCCTTGGGGTAAAATTCGGCTGATTTTCAGTACTCTCCTTAGAATAGTGAATGAGCACAGGGGCATAGCAATGGGCTCTTGGGCTGCTGCATTTCCTAAAGCTGATTATATAATATGTTAACATCAATACGGATAGTACAGGCTATTACACAAAGGAGATTCTCTAAAGAACTAATTAGGTCCATGATGAACGCAGTCATTCACTTCTAATATTAAAATTAATAGACAGGGTGACAGTCTCGTTCCAAATTACGTAGTGGTCATAATTTCTAAACGATTAATCTGAAATGACAGTACACAAAAGCTGTACTAGAACATCACTGCCTTATTGGCATTTTAGGACAAGGACTAACAATGATAAATAAGTCAAAAAACCATAAAGCACAGTTTCACATGGAATACAAAATGGCAACTCAAGTGGGACTTCACTAGAGTAGCTGCTTATGCCAGCAACACGCTGTGAGCCTCCTTAGTTACCCAGGGCAGGCTCTATCTGATTAAGTACAACTGTATTACTGATAAATCTCTGAGCACCCATCCCCTCAAAAGAAAAGAGGAAATCCGTCTTAGTTTTGGCTTACATTCAGCCATCTGGCTGCCTGGAGGGTGAGGAGAACACGAAACGCAAGGTGAAGGTAGGAGCAAGTGCTGGTTGGCAGCGTCGTGGTTTAACCCCAGCCAGCACCTGAACACCACGCAGCTGCTCGCTCACTCCTTCCCCCTCCCAGTGAGATGGGGAGGAGAATTGGAAAAAAAAAAAAAGAGTAAAACTCATGGGCTGAGATAAAACAGTTCAACAACTAAAATAAAATAACATATAATAACAACAATAATAAAATATAATAAAAATAATTGTAATTAAAAGGAACATAACCAAAAAAAGAGAGAAATAAACCCCAAGAAAGACAAGTGATGCACAATGCAGTTCCTCACCACCTGCTGACTGATGCCCGAGCAGCGATCCGCCCCCACAGCCAATTTATATACTGAACGTGACGCTCTAAGGTATGGAATATGCCTCTGGCTAGTTCGGGTCAGCTGTCCTGGCTGAGCTCCCTCCCAGTTTGTGCACCTAGACACTAGCAAAACATGGAAAATTGAAAAGTCCTTGATTTCCTAGCAACACGTAAAACATCAGTATATTATCAGCATTCTTCTCATACCAATTCCCATACTGAATCCAAAACACGGCACTATTCTAGCTACTAAGGTGGCAAATTAGCTCTATCCCAGCTGAAACCAGGACAGACGCCTACAAACAGATTGCCTCAAATAATCTGAAGAATGCAGAGCAACCCGAAACATTTTTATACAAATGCACAAGATGTTTGCTGTGTCAATTGATGGCAGAGCCTCTTATTATTATTTGTGCTCTCAAATAACGAGTGACTGTGGTCAGAT